AGGCATGACTGAATAGAGTAACTCATATGTCATATAGGCCTTCCGTTGTGGAACTACCAGTCCTGGATGCGGTTAAACTCCTTGAAGTATAAGGAAACAAATTATGACGGGTTTAGTAGAACGCGTAAAATGGAAGTAGAATAACTATCTGTTGAGCATGGTAAATTATGTTATAATATATAATGCTTTACTATACTACTATTTCAAACAAGATTTGCCGCAAAGCTGAGAACACCAACTTATTTTCCGCCTGCAGAACTTCATTTAGTTCAACGATTTTCTGCTATTTGTACGCACTAGAACGATCTGACGAATATTGCTGTTGGACTAAAAGACAGTATCAAAAATCGTCGGTCATGTCAACACTTTTTGTGACATGAACTCATGATCACTTGCGTGCAGTGATTAGCAAACGTGCGTACATTCGCAGCTGCGCAGTTGCAACAAAGGTGACCAGTTTATGCGTAAATGTGTGAAATCTGGAACGGTCGCTGGGGTTACGTGTTCTCCGACGTAAGTGTTGCGCAAAAGCCGTTGTACCTATGGTAACAACTGAATAACGTGAATTATTGATTTTGTTACCACATGCATTAGTGTGTGTCCGTCGCATGCTGTTTCCTTTTGTTACAGAACTGGAATCCATTTCCACGAAGGAACATTCCGAATGTCCATCGAACCAGTAACCCATGATGACTGTTATTTCGTTCTAACTGTTCATTGTGTCAGGTGCCATTTAGTATCGAATACTGTTTCCAAGTGGAGCTTCGGTTTCGCTTACCTCCAAATGCCTCAGTATGGTCGGGGTGGGTGCTTCAAGCTTCGAGATGGCTACTCGTCCTGAACACCTCTCGAAATGCACTCAGATGACCGTGCGTTTTCTACAGCCTCTGCTGAGGAAGCCCTACTCACTGTCTTCTCATGGCTGAGGTGTTCCCACTAAAATGAAAGGACGAAAGCGAATGCCTGGCGCTCTCCACCGAGTTGACTGACTAATAGTCAGTCTTGGGGAGATGGCTAAACCCTGATTCCAAACCAACTACGGGTGGCGTATGAAGAGTACAACGATATGCTCACCGGCATCTATGGCGGAGGGATGTACTGGGCATCCAGAATTTTTGGCCTTATCCAAAGGGCATGAAATCTCTGGCATTGACGAACCAGAGCATAATCTGTGTAGAGGCAATGTATTCTTTTCTGGCCATCGTCATCTTTATTATCACCTCTTGTGTAAACCTTGTTTTCACTTCGAACTAAACTGTTCTTGGTTCGACGGCCAATATGACACACACTCTTGTGAGTCCTCTCCGATCGTTTCTCGCTCCACATTCTTTGCTCTGTACGCTAGCATAAACATCCCTATGGCTTGACTTTGGTTTATTGACTACTATCGAGGCATCATTCGATTCGTGACTGTAGTTATCAGCCTCGTCTGTACGCCATTCGTCTCGTTAACCCTGTGTTAAATGTGTTTGAGTACTTCACACACTGGTTTGCCTCCATGTATTTCGGGCAAACTGAATGCATCTGCAGTGTCGAAAATCAAATGTACTATTAGATGTAACTCTTGTGACTGAAATGCATCTCAGATGGGACAAGAAAATATTCTCTGAACCTCCGAGTCAACAACATTTCCGTGTGAAATCATCGGAGATCAGTGCTGTACAACAGAAAAAACAACGAGTTACTGGTTCAAAACCACGTTAATACCGTCAATGTCAGCATGGTCGATGTCGTTAGACTGCGGCTAACATTCTTTGAAAGGGTATAAGCCTCTTAAATTTCCGTCGAAATTTGGTAATATACCTTTATCGATGAAAATAGATAAGTGTAAAAGGACGAATTATGTTTAATACTGGGTTCACGAAGTGTTGAATAGCCCTTGAGATGTTCTCGGAAAATGAGCAAGAACATTTCACATACCGTACTACCTTCCTTTTGAGGCATAATCTCTTTCAAATGGACTTTGTGAGCAATGGCTTATCACAAATCATGATGGTGCATCTTTGGTATTGTAAATTATCAATATATATATATATATATATATATATATATATATATATATATATATATATATATATATATACCACGTACATCCATTTGTTTACCCATCATTTAATACGAATAATATCCCTATTTTTTCCAGAATTCAAAGGAAGACAGTGCTTGAAGATGAACAAAGCTGATACGGAATTTGCAAATATCTAACTGGTAATAAACCTACATGTATTATTATTGTGTCTCCATTACGTATTATTCATGGGTACGCGGTCAGCCCACACAATCGCCTCATCACTGGTCATGAGTACGAAGGCATCACCACTAAACGTGACTGACGACCACATTGTAACAAAGAACACCAGACGGATGAGGCGCGCCTGCATTTTACCAACCAAACAAATCAAATTGGCGAAACATGTACAACCGTTTATATAAATCATTTTCCAGACCGCGATGTAGCAACATCGATTCTCCGTCTGCCTGAATAGTTGGGCTTCTTCCTGACCAAGTGCCTGCTGCCATCAGGTTGATCCTTTAGCACGTTATTTCTGTTCCCTTGGTTCGATTGTTCCAATTGACGGATTAATTGGTAGCCCCTTACATGGGCTTTCTTGCTGGTACCCTGAGATCCCACTGAGTTCCATCTACAAGTTTGCACGCCTCTATTTATCTTTTGTGACGTGCTTTCGACGCATCCACTGTCTCTTCTTTGGTCTGAGGCTTTCAGATGGTTGGTTCGATCGGTTTGATGCTCACCTTGTTCTGTTTCTACAGCATTTCCCAATACACTTGTCCTTCATTCAAAACATTCGCTCCAAGTGTACCGGGGAGCCAAGTCGGATCCGTTGACCCATTTTGATCGTGGTTCTTGACGGATTAGGAAGCTGCCTTTTTGCTCTCTAATATGGTGTACGGTCCATTAAGTTGTCTCTGGAACTTGATGCCCCCCCCCCCCCCCCCCGAAAGAACAACATCAGATCTGTTTCAATCCCAAGTTTATACTAGTTCTCCGGGAACGAACAGCTTCCATTTTGTGACTGGCTTCGTTTATCCCATATCGCCTTGGTCCGACTCTGGGCTTCTCGTTCGTTGTACCGTTAATTTCTCTAAGTGCTTCATAACACGAATTGTCAGAGATATAACATTTCTCATGGTAAGCCACCCTTCCAGGTGCTTTCTGGGTTCCTGCCCAAAATTCAGTTCACACGGTGTCGTTCCCGTTGTCGGGCAATTTGTTATGCGGTAACTAAGCAATATCTTCGACAGTTCCTCTTGTCAATCACTTTCGGGGTTGTTCAACTATACTTTTATCTTTCTGTTAAGTCTTCCTGTAATTTTGTTTGCTTGAGGATAGTGAGGTGATGTCCGTATTTGTAGTGTTTTCTCATTAGTCCAACGTGACGTGGTGTAGTATTCAAGGATCACCGCTCTTCTTTCGAGAGTTGCTTGTGTTCGATCTGCAAAATACGAAGTTCACAGAAAACAGCATGAGCGAAAGGGCTCAGCAAGTGCATCAACAGGATCTTACACTTAAATTACTCGAACTCCAATATGGCTGCCGACGGCCTGCTCACTACACTGGATACCTTCGGTTCAAGCCCAAGGCTCAGGTTATTGATGATCGTTTTAGGCACACCAAATCATGTCAACACTTTATTAACAGATGCGCAAGAGACCTTGTCGCCATTTTGATCTGGTATCGGGATTACTTGCACTCAGAGGGACACGTGATCAGTATTGTCATTTTCAACCGGTTTCCAGCTGAACTCACAGTTGAGGGATCAAAAATATCCAACACTCAACTTTTCAAGTTTCACTGCGCTTCGGCGGGCTGCATTAGCGGTGCTCTCTGTTCCGCTGACAGTCAGAGCAAGTTCGAATGAAGTCGTGGGCATCACGCGCCTGAGGAGGGAGGGGACACCATTTATGAACAAGTCCCATTCTAAATTGCAATAACAAATTTTTGTCACAACTCTTGTATTGAAGTAAAGTTAGAAGTAATATACGGGAAAATTATTCATGATAAAATTTATAACCCACAAACGTATGGTCTAGTCAAATCTCTTTCAACTCGCGTGTCACGGCCATTCTGTCTGATGACCTGGAAATACACTCGCTGTGTTTCTTTCACTACAAGCTGAACCACACCTTGACCGATGTTGCTCCAGTCTCGTTCAAATGTGGTCAGGAGCTCTGCTGTCGGCACAAACACGTTGGCAACTCAGCTTATTCAGCAAGCCAGAATTGATCAAAGGTCCTCCATCGAGTTATGATTTCGGCTACATGCTCGCTGTGCCATGGCCTTCATCTCACGAAATAATGACCATCTTTTGATTGTATATGCATTGTTGTTTTGAGTCATAATGAGAATAGAATACGTTGGTGTTCAATATAGCGAATTCATTCAGCCTTTGAGTGAGGACCACTTTCCTTTTCAATTTTCAGCATCCTGTCCACTTAACAGACTTGAGTGTTGTTTGCTGTGTTCCAGTTGGAAAATTGGACCCTAGTGCAATATTCATTTCTGATCCGGAACTTGTGGTAAATGTTTAAACAATATGAAGTATATACAAATGGTGTTTGCTGCTGAACGTAGTGCACCACGTCATATAAAACGATTTGTATTGCAATTCGTGATACTTTTTGGAACTTGCTAGTGTACTGGCGAAAATACAAACTGTTGTTTGACCTTTTGTACGCTTGTGTGTTCATGTTTCAGTCAAAGCATTTGCTCAAAAGCCATTGCATTCGGATTTCGCAGGGTTATCAAGCAACCCAGTCACTACTCTTTTTTCAACAGTATACGAGCGGAGTGCGGAAGAGAATAATTATTTTGCGTGTTAATGCGAGGAGGTTACACGGAAATTTAATACGTGTTTTCCGGTAAGAGTAGCAGGAAGACAGCTCAATGTGTGCTACGGGTGCACATTGCTCAGAAATATTACGGGGGGAACTTCTTGCGCGATTCAGTAATTCCATCAATAAGTTTAAAGGTAATCTCTTCAACGAAATTCAGAAAAACATGACTGATTACCATCAAACAGTGAAATTGAACTTCGAAGAGTTGTTTCAGGAGACAGTATAGTCAGCTGGAGAGAACACACTGATTGAATCAAGTAGACTGGCTTGATTATGCGGATGGACAAACGCCACAGTTTTCCAACACATAACTGAACGTGTTTGGATAGCCTGAGATTGCTATTTATTGTTAACCGTAGGTACTTGATGGAGTCGACTGTAGAAAAGGAACCGTTATTATTCTCCACATTACCTGTGGGAAAAGTCGAACGGGAAAGGGGGAAGATGCACCGTGAAAATTTCGATGGTTTTGATGTGGAACCAGACTGAATGGAAGAGTATTAAATGGTTAAAAAATGTTATCTCAATGTGCGAGTCAGGAGAACTGCAGACAGTGTGGTACATAACGAAATCCTGGATGTACATGAAACATTAGTCGGCGAGTTCATGTGCACATTGCTAATGTGAGTAAAAAATGGATCTGGAGGAGAAACGGCGCCTTGGAGAACTCCAGAACTGTTGATTGGGGTTGAAAGAATGTTTTCCTAGTTTGATGTGCCACATGCCTTCAGCAAAATAACTGGAAATCATCATCATCATCATCGTACAGTGTTAAAAAGAAGGGCAAGCCCCGCTTACCACTGCCCGTCTTACCATCGTGCACGTGGAAATGGAAAGAGTGAATATACAAGATGGACAGGAAGTGGACTTACAGGGGTGGGAAAACAACTGAATGGTCAGACAAGCAATAGTTCTGAGCATCCAAATGATTCTAACTTTGCAAGGAGCCGTGATTTAGGCGACTATGCATAGTAAACGAATCGTCAATATCTCGAAATACCTGTCTTTGTTCTATATTGATTATTTGAATGAATAGGAGTCGATCGCTGTGTGGGGAGCGGGTTGTTACCGTTCAAAAGCTAGTGACGGAAGGGTGCTATATCATGTTGTGTAGATGTTCAACAAACCGTTGAGAGCCAACCCGGATAGCCTTGTGGTTAAGGTGTTCGATTCACAATCGTTCACCCCGGGTTCGAATCCCCGTGGGGGCTTGGTGGATGTGCACTGCTGATGATTCCCAACAAGGATGAAACAGCTGTACAGTGCTTCCATGGTTTTCAATGGTGAGTTGAGCGTTCAGGCTGCATGATGAATCATATTATATACAAATCTAATCTCCTATTACTCAATTGTGAATAGTAATCAATACTTCGAATATCCGGATATGACGTAGTTCACTTCATCAGCTATACGCAAACAAACACATGTCCAGATTACACTTCTGTACCCTCTGTTACTGAAATGATCGAGAGAAAGTAGATTATAATACTAGATACCCTCATCGACAAAAGATGAAAAAATTTAGAAAAACACTTACAGTGTATTTTAGGGTGCTGTTCTGTCCACTTAACTTGACATAATGAACACCAACGATTTATCCACTGCTTATCCTGCACGACCTTTTAGGTATGCCGATCCAATCAACCCCCCTTCACCTCTTTTTCTGAAAACATATGTGACATTCAAACCACCTCCTTTTTTCTGATCTACATCCCAACAACTGTAAATGTTTTGAGTGCACATTCACTCTTTCTCGATCTCCTCATCCCAATGAACAATCGAACATTAATTCTGTCCCCATAACTGATTCGGTCAAGTACTTTGGTGTTACCGTAGTCACAAAATTTACAGTGGTCTCCCCGTATTCTGTCCGATGCAAAGAATCTGCGTCGACCGTGTTTTTAAATCCGCAGACAGTAGCCGTTTGGTATCATACAGGTTGCCATCATTGTTTTGACCACTAATCTTGCACTACTTCTCTCCCGTAATCTTTTCCGATCTACTTATAAAGGATTTTTATTCAATAAACCATCGTTTGGATATTATCAGTCACGTTTCTTTGATCCCCATAGCCTCTCGCATCAGCAAAATGTGACCCGCATGCTTGCACCCGTGAAGAATTTGCTTTGAAGATTCACAAGAGGCCATACTCTTCCGCTTGGCCATGACCCGCTGTTTCTAGCTCATATCCTTCCTCACTTTCCGAGTTTGGACTCATCCAGTCCTGCATGACCATTTATCGCAACTGTACAATGCATTATTCAGTATGCGTGCTTTTTAACATAACTGATTGCGCCGATTATTTTAGCATCAACCTCGGAAGTTAAATTTGATTTTAGTTTTCTCGTTCTTCTGATATTTTTATACTGACGGCTATCGTTTCCGGTCCTATTTATCATCGAAACGTGATATTTTAACTAACGAAAGTCAACAATATGATACAATATAAATGTTGAATCTGTTTTGCCTGTTTCAACTCTGCTCATTTATCAACACCAACCTATGCTACGTTTGGACCGGTTTGACGTATTCCTAATTCATCAGACGTTGACCACATGATTGCACGGCTACCAGTTCACATGATTCCTCATCGCTCTCAAGCGCTGCCCGTCGGTCACACACACACACACACACGCTGAACCATCACTCGGTTGATTGACTAGACCTGGACTAGACTGTTCGATTGGGCACCGAATTCTGATCAGCTGCACCCGGCAGGCATGTATAATCACACACATGTACTGACGCATACACACACGCACCCACACAAGACCTGTGTGTGACCTGTTCGACCCGTGACTAATCGTGTATCTGCGTGCCTGAGCGAATCCCTGCCCTACTCACTGGTTGGTCAGAACCACCGATCGATTTCCGCATGTTCGCCTTTCCGTTAAATGCGCGTTCCTTTCCTTGTCACTGATTGTGGTGGTCGTCTCGTTAACCAACTTGGTGACTTGTGCCTCGGCCAATTGGTCATAGTACGTGTTATCCTTTCTGAACTGTACGGAACGTTAGTAAACGGTGATTCCTCTGAGGACGCCACGTTTTGAGGTTTGTACATTTACCCCTCTGATTGATTATTGTTTGAAGTGCCGCTAGTAAACCTCAGCTAGTTTGATTTGGTTTCTGAGGAGAGCGCGTCACTCCAACTCGGCCTAGACACCGGATAAATTTGATTATAGTTCAGGATTCGGACGTACAATACTTTTGGTGTTCAAAGTACAGCCCACATCGTCTTTTGCAAAATACCATCCGTTTCAAGTGAGAGATCTCCGCTTTCTCTAGCACTCCTGCAGTTATTCTCCTGCACAGCAACGTCCCTCACGTCTTGAGATCCCCCACGGTTTCGGGTCTACCTTATTAATTTTGTTTTTGAGTAGAACTACTGACGTCTGACGAATTTAGATCCCAAGACCTAGAAGGACATTCAAGCGATACACCGCTTACTACCCACCGTCTCTCCAAAACGCTTCCAATGTACTGGCGAACACAAGTCGCGTGATGTGCAGGTGGTCCGTGTTCCTGGAACCGTGCACAAGATCGTAACACTAGTGTAATTGCATACGAAATACGAGCGAGAAAGTTCTGTAAAAAATTCAGACACGACCTTATTAATAACGAGTAAAGTGAAACGTTTTACCTGCGATGTTTCCACGAAAAATCACGACCGATAATTCCTCTTCCCTGGTGTGAGACTGATGTGAATCAATGGCGAATCGCCCTTGGTTCTCTTGTGATCAGTAAAACCATTTGATTCATATATTATGTGGGTGAAATATGGCTCCATCGCTAAACTTGGTCACCATTCAATATCGCGATTGAAGTATCAGGTGCAAAACCAAAGACGACGGTCTGCATCTGCCGTTGGAGATGACGTTTCCTATCTGGTTTCAAGTTGTTTTCCCGTAAAATCTGGTTCACGAACTATCAAAAGAGATAAAAGTAGCTCGTCAGTACTCAGCTATGTTGTTAGTCGTTTGAAGGCTTTCAAAAGCAACATTTAGCCGATTTCGATCAACGGCACTTGTTTTTGTCCTCAACCGATCTCGTACCTTCATTTCTTTTTGATTATTCGGAGTACCATCGACTTTCGACCCGAATATTGTTGACTGGAAAACTTTGCAACTTTCGCCGCACTACAAATTATTTTAGATAAATAAACGAATCGACTTTTAGTACCGCTGTAATCGACAATCGCTCAATTCTCTTGTCCCACAAGAAAACCAGCAATCAACAAGCCCAATACGATCGATCAGCAGTCGCATTGAATTTCTCTGCTGGTCCTATGGCTTCAGTACGTGCGCACGCACACAGATGCGCCCGCTAAGTCACCTGGCTTTCAATCAAGGCCAGTCTGCTCCGTGGTGTTTGCGACCGCTAAGCTTTTAGGCTTCAGGTGGACTAAATTTCGATACCAAACCGAGCTGCACACGTTAATCGTGGTTTTTATACCTGCCCACGCTCCTCTGGTTATCATAGCATTATGTGAGCATGCTTCCTGCATTTAGCTTTGGAGCTTTATCCATGAGACGCAATGCGCTGTGTCCAGCAAGGCGGGCGCCGAAGTGATTGCACAAATACACTGACTTATTGCGACGGTTCTGTTAGAGGTATTTCTACGAATGCATTCACTTAGCGTGATAAAACTGTATTCTCAGAGGCAACCAGTATTCGATAAGTATCATCATTATATATTAACATTTCCCCAAATCGGCATTTGTATTCAAAGTGCTGCGTCCAATTTCCCTAAATTTCGTTGTAAAAACCTCTCTTTTAATAACGTCCTTCACGCTGTGCACACTGTCTGTGAAAGTGCTTGCATCCCCTTGAATCTTGATGAGATTAGATCAATGATGTGATTGCAAACCTGTTTTGAGAGAGGTTATTAGCATGAGTAAAAAACTTGAGACCACACCGAATGATTTATCATTTAAAATGAACAAAAACTGCAAATGTCTGTAATGTAAGAGTTATCAGAGATGGGGACGAATATCCACATATTTGTTCTGTTTATAAAGATATAAAGGAGGGAATACTGAAGTTTACTAATCAGGTGACAAATCGACCGTTTAAAATATATTGGAAGGATGTCGTTCCATGTCAGCCTGCCTAAAAGATGACAAAACCGGCTAACGTAAAGGGTAGACCAGCGTAAGACAATAACTATGCCTAATTGGAAAACCTTTCGTTCGAAAGCTTGCCCATTCGATCTGAATGTTATGATTCCTACCATACATATTATTGCAAAGCCATGAGATTGACTAATCAAAAAGAATCCTTTACCCCATCAGTTTTCTATGTGCCTTGTGGAAATGTTTCAACAATTAGGACAAATATCCAAATTTAGATCCTAAAAGGGATCGATTATTCGTTCTCTAATAATTACCACCCTGAGGCGCAGTTGCAATAATCGGATAAATCAAATTCAACTCAGCGGCGCGCCAGGCCATCTCAACAGCTAACTACAACGTGAACAGTTTTCCGTTCATCGATGCGGTCATGCTAACGCCAGCGTTATGATTCAGACTGACCATCGATCTGACCCATTCACGCAGTCATCCCTTTTCTGATCCAACGTACCTGACATGCTTCGGACATACACCTGCACATGTAACCTAGACTATGCTCACATATTTGCGGAAATCCCTCTACCAAAGCCGATAGAATGAGTCAGTGTATTTGTGCATACACTTTGGCGTCAGAAATTTGAACTTTTGAAGCAATGATTCTTAAATAATGATTTCATTAACCTTGATTTTCTGTGGACTATCGGACGACCTTTTTTGGCTGACACAGGTGACAATTCAAAAACTAATAGCTGCCATCGTGATCAGTGGCAAAAGTGAAAATATAAAGCTTTCGGGGTGCCCGTTATCACTGAACACGCTGAATATACAATTAGTTTCACTTTCGAAGAGTCACAATATCAAAGCGACATACATTCTTCCTTGTGATAACACGCAAAAGTGTATGTTGCTCAGGGAAAAGGGAAAGAAGCTGCATGTGATACGGCACTGTCATTTATCATTTCATTTGTGAGGAGATATGGATAGATTCGAAATCACCGTAAGGAATGTGTGCCATGCCGCATAAGCATGCTTCTTGGAATATTCTAAAAGAGCCACTGAGAACGAAGTCGTCAATATTTTGATTCCTATCAGGTGAGAGGCACTGGTGACCGAGAAGATGACGAATTCGGATTGTATGATCGTTACATGATTGAAGTAATTCGTCGGTTTCGCCAATGCAATAAAACAACTAACCTCCACCGGTTAAGAGACGAAAGTAACGATAAAAATATCTGGTGAAATTATAAGCAGTAAGAATCCTTGAAACGTAAAATCGATAAAGTAACCCAAAAATGAATTTAAATATCAAGTAAAAACGGTCAAGTATCTGAAAGAAGAATAGATATGTCAACTCATCAATGAAGTTACACGATAAAGCAGGGATGTGTCACATGAAAGAAGCTGGAATTTTCAACGTTGCACGGATGCGTGGATGAACGAGAATGCTAGTACTAAAGCCCATTCGTTCGATCGTCCATACCGGTGCTATTCAAGCCGGCCATTCGATTCTCCTTTCGTACGCGTACGGTACTTTGGGTTTTCTTGAAATCAGTGCGGCCCGCTGCAGACTGTCGATCGATCCTTTAACCAACAAATTCTGGTCGTGGTAAAAATGTAGCAGTTCGTTCCACAGAGGATCCTGTACAACCGAAGAAAAACGTAGGTGTGTTTAAAACTGGAATAGTAGAAAAACTTGAACAAACGTCCAAACGAAATTAATAAGTACAAGACTGCAGGCAACATTAGCCGCAACGGTAGACAGAAATCGTGCAGGTTGTATTGTAATGTCTTCTGCAAGCTGAGTGCACACTTTTTGTTACGAAGTGCCTCAAAAAGATGGTATAAAGAAAGAAAACAAAACGAATAAAGTGAGCACCAAAAATGTATACGGAATTCAGAAGCGCACGTTTATTTACATGTAGGCATGTGGGTTAGGTTTGGGGACAGTGGAATCCCTGAAAATCCCAATCGTGACAAGAGGTAGTTACAATGAGCTTTAATAGATTAATGGGAACGTCAACTGCATGCCATTCCGAGAAATCGGAGAAATGAATAGTTTAATGCAAAGAACACAAAACGAACAAAAGTTTGAGACAAACGATCAGTTCATTTCCTACAACCATTGACTCCGCACTTCTCTGATTGCATTGGTTTTGGTTCACATCACGCAGAATGGTCAATACGAGAGCTTAAATTAGTCTAAAATAAAGTTTAAAGCGAAAATAATGAAGACGAAAAAAGGGTTCGAATACAACTATACCACCGAGCGTGGCATCTAATCATGTCACCTGATGTTTACCACCATCCAATATTTGAGTTCCAAGGGGTTCACCTTGGAAGACTTACACATTCTACGTCCACCGGTCAGGAATCTTGTACCTTTTTGAAATTCCGTGAGCTGACTACTCCAGCCCACTCGCAAGCCTCTAAATGACTCAAAGAACAATGCACACCGAAGAAGTCTATCTGTGGGAATACGTAGCAAATTTCCTAGCATCCTAAACCTGTTTAGATTCAGCATTCATTTTTTCGACTAATCCCTGATGCCAAGGTCCCCGTGGCTAACCTCAGCATATTCGAAGAGCACTAGGAAAATATGGATACTCCAACACCGACTGCCGTCGCGTATCTTCTACCCACGACGGCAATACTTCTGAGTCGTATAAAGGGGCGGATCTACCCAGCGTGGTGTATGCTCAACCGTTGAAAAAACAGTTATATGTAACTCTAGCGTCAAAGGTTGTTCAAACCGGCTTAAGTTAAACGTGCCTTCCGCACAGGTGACAAATACTATCCAGAATATTTTTCATCTGGATGAGAACCGCAATACGAGGAAGTCGGATTGTTCTGAGATTCTACACGACGGGACTGTTTTGGAAGTCATCACGTGCGTTTCAAAAACCGTTGTTTTCTCACTCAGTTAGTGTTTGCAATCCAAGCTCTTCTTTGACACATCCATGCATGCTAGAACACATTACGTTGGCGACGGGATTCGAGTAAACTTAATACTAATGATTCACGTGTGCAACTCACATGAATCCGGAATCCTGGGGTTTGAGTTCAAAATCAGCCTTAGTGGTCGTGTTGTTGATGATTCTGCATTAGGATGAAACAGCTATACAGTGTGTACACGTTTTCCAGTGGTGAGTTGTGTGGTTGCTAAATAATGAATTCGTTGGTTGAAATATGTCAACATATCCGACAAACCATATTCACACTCACCCTACTCAAGGTGACCGGATTTCCAATTATAATCAAGCCGTAACGAGCACGAGTCAAGGCCACGTTCAGACGTCGAGGATCGTTCAAGAATCCCACATTCCGATTCCGATTAGATCGAACACAAGACAGAATGATATAGTTTTTTTCACGGCCCTGATATCCATCCACACTGGAGACCTCAACGCCTTGGTTTCGTCTGTTGGCCACTGAAGCCAGCTGACGAATTAGGTATGTCTTTTGGCCGACGTACGGAGCGATCACTCCGATCTCGCTTGGATTTACACCCTGATCAATGAATCTTGATAGGATCGTGGGTGAACATGTATTGGGCACATGGACGTACAGGTAAGCTGGGACTGCAAATCGCGTGTGAGGCGAAGAAAATCAATATACGTATAAAACGAAGCTGAATCTCAATTATAATGGTACGGGTGACAAGGAGAAACCGTTGGGCTTCAGCAGTAGATACATAAAATCCTGGGGGTCAACCGAAAGAATTTATACAAAAACGTGGAATTCAGAACAGAAAAAAGAATGCTATCTACATTTACCAGCACGCTTGCACATCACTAACTCTAAGTAACCACTAGCTATGATCAATGAAATTGTGCCACACTAAGATCATGAAAACTGACTTGAATGTACTGCATAGTTCTGTGAACGCTCGCTCTTTCATACGAAAAACACGTTAAACTGCATTACAAATTGCCATATTGAAGTGACTGTAATTGTAATATTTTATTCCTGATAAGGAAGGCAGGTTCACGCAAAAGGTAAGTGATCAATAAGATGGTTCCTAGTGGAAAGTCTTTTATAAACAACGTCTTGAATACCCGGTCAAGTACTATGAAACGGACAACCCAAGTTTTTCAGCAGTTCTGTCGGTCGATTACGTTTGGCTAGTGAGTGAATTACACACGCATATTTCTCGTCGGAAATAAACTTAGTTAGCATATACAGGAATAAAATAAAACGTGGATAGTGAAGGGATGATCAGAGTGAGTACAAGCACTCAACTGACAATGGCACATACTTTTCACACTGACCAGTTCAAGGACCCTAAATGCATTGTGCACGGCCGATTTGACGAATTCAGAGTTTCGACGTTTATTTGTTTTTATTATACACTCTATATCGAATTACCTGATTCTGTGCAATTTGAAAACAATCTTTCTCTTCGAAATGAACATTCATTTTGAACACGCTTTACTGAGCAACCTAAAACATCTAACACTCATTATCCTACGAGACACATCAGTACTTTAGAAAATGTGGTCGCAGCTACCGCAAAAAATAGAAAGTAAGTCGATACACATAAGTAGGACATTCCAAAACTCGCTGCAAATCGTCCCACTTTCGGTGACCCAATCTAGTCTATCCTTTATTTTCGTTTGATTGACTGTCCTCTTGGACTCCACGTTTCACGCGCAAACCTCAGGTCATCCGACCAACCTGCACTCGGAAGCACCAGACTCGAGTTTCGCTCTTGTTAGAGCTCATCAGTGGTGCATATCCTCCGCCACACCCAGGGTTTGAACCCGGGCCCTCCCATCTCGAAGGCGTGTGTGTTACCACTGCGCCACCCCGCTCCCGTTCGAGCTGATCCGAATCACCAAGTTAAGCTTGTATAGATGTCGACCTCTATGACAGCCAGAAATGCCCGACAGCTTTCAAATGGAGACACGGTTCCGGACCTAGTTAACTCCAAGCGAATGCCTCCCACCAATCAGGTCTTCTCCACAGGATGAGGGCAACGGACCCACATTTTTAAACCTGCTTCGCGTTTTTGGTACATATGTCACGCGTGACATATCTATCCTTTATTCTTTATTTACTTGTGTTTTCATTGTGCAAAAGTACTTCGGGAAGGCGATCGCGGCCAATCACAGGCGGCCAGTCGGGTAGAGTGAACGGGCGTGGCGGTGGCGACGGCAGCCACAGGAGTTGAATCCAGGACAGAAGAGCCTAAATTTCACTATGAAGACTACTTGACCACCATCACCACCACACATCCTAGGGTGATAAAGTTGCGGAAACGAGGTGACATACTTAAAACATGACAGAAATAAATAAAAAAGACTTTTTAATTCTCAGTTAGAATAAGGTTTGATATCGGAAAATGGTGAGCAATGTATTGGGCCTCATTTGTGTACCAATTCGGAGCCTGAAAAACCACGTTTACCAGTGATGTTTTGAGATGCGTGGGAAGATGGGAAAGACTGCAGCGACCAGCCACATCAAAACAAATACATTCCGCGATCAAAGTTGTCGACGCCCTCGACTTTCATGATTTGTGCACTAATACTGCCTACAAGAATTCCACCTGTTATCAGAGACTAAACGGATAACACACAATGATATATGGAAGGAAATTGCGGCACTTCAATAGATAAACGTATGGGATGCCCTCATCCAGAATAATGTTCCACCTAGACAAACGGATTATGTTATCTAGCTTCCAACACCATAAGTTCCGGGTCAGAACTGAATGTTGCACTAGGGTCCAATTTTCTAACTGGAACACATCAAACAACACTCAAGTCTGTTAAGTGGACAAGATGCTGAAAATTGAAATGGAAAGTGGTCCTCACTCAAAGGCTGAATGAATTCGCTATATTCAACACCAACGTATTCTATTCTCATTATGACTCAAAACAACAATGCATATACAATCAAAAGATGGTCATTATTTCGTGAGATGAAGGCCATGGCACAGCGAGCATGTAGCCGAAATCATAACTCGATGGAGGACCTTTGATCAATTCTGGCTTGCTGAATAAACTGAGTTGCCAACGTGTTTGTGCCGACAGGAGAGCTCCTGACCACATTTGAACGAGACTGGAGCAACATCGGTCAAGGTGTGGTTCAGCTTGTAGTGAAAGAAACACAGCGAGTGTATTTCCAGGTCATCAGACAGAATGGCCGTGACACGCGAGTTGAAAGAGATTTGACTAGACCATACGTTTATGGGCTATAGATTTTATCATGGATAATTTTTCCGTATGTTACCCATAAATCTGCTTCATTTGAGTAATTTCGATATAGATTTGGTACTGTGGTTTAGAATGAAACCTTTCTGTACGCGGTAAGTGGTGAAGTTCTTCGGGGAAGTGTAAGTGCCCAAATGGTACTAATCAAGGGAGTCAGAAGTCGCCCTAAAAACACATCATTAGCGAGGCTGCAGCCCGCCTTCTTCCAACCCACGGACAGGGTGCTTTATTATTACTAGCTACTGAGAGGCCCGCGTATCTCACATAACGGTGCAGTCACTACGCATATGCACCTGAACCGATCAGTCCATCATACGCCACTGTTCACATCGGCCAATGACGCTATGATCCGACTTAACCAATTGCATATGCACACCCCGCTGGGTAATCAATAACAGCGCTCCATGTAATCCCCATCTCATGCTATATAAAGTGATGAATCATGGCTACACTTGAATACACTTTCCACACTTGTTCGTGGTTACTTTTCCGTTGGGATTGGACAAACGAGGGATCGCTGACCAGGGATAATTCAGAGGTTCGCGAGCTGACACGAGTCACTCGCGCCTTGTATATGGCCACCAGAACCAGTTTTAAGTGAACCGACCAAGGAAGAAAGCAGTTCACTAACCCGTACTTTGGGTTGTTATCTAGAAGGTTATGGGGAGCAGTCTGAGATACAGTCTAAATGACCTTCGTTTAGGACAGGTCTGCTGGATAACAATATTTAGTGTGTTCGATAGAAGTCTATCCACCCTGGAGGGTCGAATGTCTATGTATGCTACTGAAAACAACAGAAGTAGTTACACTATGAAGTCCGGCGAAAAATGCTCTGGATTGCCCGCTTGAGACGACGATGACCAATATCAAGATTTGCTGATTAAAATGCCAAAATGGCTCATTTTAGTGCGGAGCGATCGAACAAAGCCACCGATGTACTGCTACCGCGCTGTTGGAGATATATCAACTAATATGGTCGCACCTATTGCCAATAAACTTGCCGTGTTGTTCAATTTTGAAGCGCTTGTACGGAAAATCCGAGTAAAAAAATAGTTTAAGTAATGTCTGAAAAATACCCATTGCATCATATAGAAGTCCAAATCGGCGAAACAATTGTTTTTCAGTAATTCATTCTCAAGCCATTTACAGATTACATAGTAGACATTAGACAAAAGTAATATTCGCTCCAGAGTATATCATCCATTGCCACCGTATTTATCATGAACTTGTTCTTGGATCAACCGTGTATATTCACATTGGGTTGGTGGATTTGTGCGTATTTAGCGGATCTTATTCCCTTGTAACAACCGGTACCAGTTCATTGATTGCGGTGGTCCAGTGACTCTTGCGTCTCAGCAACAGCCTAATTTGAATATCAAAACGATCATCGGGACAAAAATCAGGGGGAAAACTATGAATGATGGTATCATTTTGGCTGGTAAATAGTGCAACTACAAGTGGCACTTATGTCACATGGTCATATCTTCCTGCCTATGATCACTGATTGGATGGATCTCGTGATTATGTAATCCATCGTGGAAACCCGATACGCTCTAAATGACCATGTGCACTGGTTCGGCTTCTAATACCTTCCCTCCATGCTACGGACGGATCACTTAATGGTATTTACTAGTCTGACAAGCGGTATACTTCTAATTCTCCAAACCGACTACGGGTTAAATCTCTATAGTGTTTGATCTCGTGATTGAAATAATTTCATTCAAAAGAAATTTGAAACATTGAGTCCCCTTTATCCAATTCATTAGAACAGAGAGAAGACATAAGTCGCGAGATGCAAGCATTTCGTTTGCTCTTGTCGACCGCGGACGTAAAACGTGTTTACTAAGCTGTCAGGTAGAGACGAGTGGAAGTCACTCCAGTTTGTTCTGGCGGGATACATAGTAAATGCAATTGCTATGTGCACGATCATTTGTGTGTATAGTGTAACTTTGGACATAGTTCGTGTGATCTCATAATACGGCAGTTCTCCGATCGTTTTGGTAAAGTGTATCGGGTGACTTTGGAAAATCTTGAACAGGTCGGCAAATCTTGTTCGGCTTCCCTGTTCCTCCAATATTTTGCCGGCTTTCTAATGAAGATGTCCTTCCATTTTGCAAAGGCTCATTAAAGTTATATCACGATCCAGTGGTATCGCCCGTCCTAAATTAATCAGTTTCCTAGCAGAGGAACACTTGGCTTTGTGTGAAAAATCTCGGAATAACACCACAGTTTGATGTTATTTGACGAAGTTTAAAGGTGATAATCTGTTGCTGTTAGAAGCAGACGGTTCTAGTGAACGATGTAGTCGCCTGCATTTCTGAATGATAACGCCCTTGGGTTCTTTAATTCGACCATATCGGTAACAGTACGAGATAGAGAAACACATGGAACACGTTTGGTAACAAGGACACTTATCAGGAGTTGAAAGACAATGTTGAACAAGCTACTACCCAAACCCATCTATCTCAATGTATTGGTTTTCTTGCCTACACACTGCTAGATCAGCCCGAGGCAAAGCTGCTTTACCAGTGAAATGACTGGAAAGCGCGGTCGCAGACCAGGTGTGAGACAATTGGTCTACTGTTTGTTACCAGTTTTGATCATCTACGGCATCGCCTTTATCCCTTTATCTTTTTATCTTATTTTATTTACTTCCTTTTATTTTGTAATAATGGTAAAATATTTCAGGAAGGGGGTCGCGACCGACTATAGACTACCAAATAGGCAAGCAGACCGGCGGCTATTTCATCAGCACCTATTCACAAACTTCAAGCTACACAAACGATGAACGCAAGGTGCACCTATCAGTAGGAATGGACATCACTGCTATCTCAATCTCTTCCATCGGAGCTATCATTTTCTCATGCCAATCGGAAGCGGTAATTCTGGAACCTGATGAATTCCCCATAGACTTCCACTGTTCTTGTGCTTCAACCTTCAGTCACGGAGTTCATTAACTGTTAATCACAACCACCGGTGGTTATCGTGGTGTTTACACGTGACACGACCTGGAAGCACAAACTCTAGTTACGTATATACTGGCGTGATACCATGCATTCATTCCGCTGCTCCAAGGGAGACAATGTGTCTTTCCCTATTCCCATCCAATTGGCCGTACCGCAATAGCTCATCTGGCAGAGCAACTGCAGGTGAGCGCACGGTTTGAATCTGGCTCGTGGCGTGGGACTTTGGGAGCGAATGATGCACGCAGATCTTTTTTATTCCCACATTATTCGAGCTTATCGTGCCATCTATCAGGGTGACGTATAAATAAATGAAACATTAAAGCCTAATAGTCGGCGGTGATTGGGGATGTGTAGAGCATTTCTGCAATGAGCTTCCTCGGTAGACTATGCTTCCTGTGTCTGGTAATGGTTGGAGCCTTAGCTTGAGTATTTCATGAAATGGACTAGGTGGATTTCAAGAGACCTCACAATCAGTGGCTAACTGGATTATACGCCTAGGTTTCGTGACCACGGGCTCTGTTGCGTTTGCACACTTCTGTGATCTATTTGTCAACATTATTCGTTGTTTTCTGATAACTTCTTACACTTTTAATTACTGTGACTCCTCAGTGAGGCCAATATTCAGTGGTAGCAACTGCAACTACCGCACGCGATGCATGAGTGACAGTTGTTCCGGCTGAACCCATTTCGATATGTTGTCCGTTTTGGGGAGCATGATTAGACTTGATGATCATAGAAATTTCTGAACTTTCGAGGGAGACGGTAAACAGACGCTTTTTATTGAGGCTTAGCATTGCTGAACCGAGAACTGTCTTACTCTGTGTTGGATTAATGTAACTGATATGAACTGAAACATTTACCATTGCACTGCATTTTTATTGTTTGATGCATAAATTAGGTATGCACTTCTTGGGCGCATCAAATACGCCATTAATGGGTATCACTATTCCCAACCTAATATCCATGGTCCATTGATTTTTGCGATGATAATCGCCGGAACGTTTATCGGCATTGACGTAAGCAATAATCAAATTAGGCGACACAGTCGGAATAAACTCCAGGTTCTGTCGATCGAAAGTGAAATCCCATAGGCAATTGTAATCCCCGAGTGATTATATTCTTCCGTTTATCATTGAAAGAAACACAGAAAACAGATGATTAATGGTGTGGTACAGTCGAGGACAAATCGCAACTTGAGAACAAAGTTTACATACTTGCAGATAATGGCCTTCACAGCCTTCGCTTCCTCCGGATTCCAATATGACACTCCGTTAGGAGCAAGCTGTTCTTCACTTTCCACGGAGTAAAAAAATGTCGGTATGTCCGAACTAGGCCAACGGAACCGAGGACATCCTCTTCGATCTAACGCCGTGACTCCACTCTGGATTTGATTGTCATAGAACACTCGACTGGAAAATCGGACCAATTCTGGATGCATACGGTACTGAGTCTATGAAGCATCATCATGAGCATCAAGATGTCCAACGGTGAAGTAGTGAGAGAATGATCATGGTTGGGGAAGGGTAAAGTGCAAAGTTTTGTTTTCTGATACAAGTCTTCAAATAATGACTAGAGCAAACAGCTGCACAACAATAAAATCGACAGCAGCCACAACAACAAAGGCTGATGAAAATGGATCGACCGAACCAAACATGGAGGTATCTTGCTTAAGATTAACCTAGATAGACTACCAAATATAACCCGTGATAGCTCGGGTGCCGTTTATTGAGTTCGATGTAGTGCTGTAAAGTAAGTTCATGTCGGTTTCGCTAAAACTGACAGAGCCTGTGTGTGGTATGACTCAAGGCATCAAAACACGTGAAGTTATGAACTAATGGATCGAAATATGGTAAGTGGGACCAAACGCAACGGTTCTCGTGAATCCTAAAGATTCAAAGTTGATAAAGATTGAACTGGGGTCTGATTCATCATTATTTCCTATGTAAAAGTTCGCTTGGGAGCATCGATTCACATCAAATGGTACCTGATATAACAGATAGAACGGAATGGGAGTCATTACGGGTTAGTGGTTCGATGGATATTTTCGGGATAGTCCTCCGCGGTAATGGATGCCAGTTCCGTAACAAACAGAGGGAACGGAACAAACACACACACACATGCATGCATGTGTTAACATAATCAATAAGTCTAACTAACCCGGTTGCTACCATGGATATGACAGTTTTTGTGCCACACTTAACGTATGTATGGGTCGGAGAACATGTAATCCCAACGACCGTTTTAGATTCCACACATTTGCACATTAACTGGTCACCTTTGTTGCAGCTACGCAGCTCCAAATGGATGCTTGTTTGTTGATCACTTCAAGCGGCCAATCACTGATTCACATCACAGAAGGTGTTCATGAAAGCGGCAATGTTCGCACAATCATCAAAATAACTTCGTTCAGCAAAAAGGCCTATGCGTGAGTGGAAATTAACAAAAAAAGCCTAACTGTTATGAAAAACACAAAATATGCCTATGGGTTCGGTTTAGGTCAACGTGAAAACTGTGGTTGGAAATCGTGTTGTTACGTACGTTCACTCAATCTGTGCAAGACTCATGTAATTACAGGTGTCGTCGAAATTATCTAGATAACATTTTTTCTTCGTTATTACTTCTCTTTCCCCTGAAATTTTAGTACTATATCATAACACAGAGCCGAAATATAAAAGTATATACATAAAACACGATTAACGAACGAGCTCGTTTTCGGTAACATCATCTTCGTGGCTAATACAATTACGTTTATGAGTTAGAACGACACGGCAACTATCGCAAAGGATTATGGAGCACAAACCAACTTGGCTGACGACGAGAAACAGAGAATCCATTACCAGCACAAGTATGGTGAATTTTGCGGACACTGGATATCACGTAAAAGACGACGCGTTCAAAATAGTCTACAGAGTCCCTACGAACGCGCCAAAAGTCGCTCGAAAACAACATCTGGCAACGGCAGAGTCTATAACGATCAGATTACTCAATCCATCGCGTTGTTCCCAAAGAACGTTTTGTTAAGTCACTCGAAATGACCTGGTCGTGATTGGAGACCGACCCTGGAACTCAGCGTGACCTAAACACTGACTCTTTGGTTGGACAATCCGCGAAAGCTATGTTCACCGTTCCCCTGGTCCTTTTCCAAACCGTGAAACAATATTCACCCTCGTAACTTCCTGAACTACGTAACACCAATTTTGATGACTACCCAATCACAATTTAAGACAGAGACATAGTTCATAATTTATGCGTTTCTAACCTATAAATGTGATTGTACTAGCCACGGGGATGTTGTTGCCGAAAATGAGCTTGTTTACGATTCTTATTTTCTATACTTAGTGAAATGGGATTATTCAGTAAATACGAAGTTCTATAGAACCCGATAACAGTAACGTTAGTTCCGTTGTGATTCGGTGGTGATTGAAATTGCGTGACCTTGGTCACCATCATAAATTAAATTGAAATTCAGAAGTCCGAACATAAGTTAAACGTTGATTATGGCTTATTACTAAACCGATGAAGCTAAAATTCATCAAAGGTGGCTTCATGATGGATAAGTAAATACTGATCCTGCTAGGAATATTTTCTTTTTTCCGAACTGCCAACTATGTGTCCACCTAATGGAAAGAAGCGAAAAAAGCAAACATATTTGGAGAATACCGTGTTGTCTAACAGTTCAATAACAAACTCATGGTGGGCGGTAGTCGCACTGGAGGAATACTTCTAGTTCACTTCAAATGCATGACCAGAACTTCAAGGTCATATGAACGTGGTCCGTTAAATATCCACACACTAAATAGGAAGAACCACAGTCCATTCGCTATATGAGTCCACCAGAGTTTCGGGAGGCACTAACCAAGACCGTGGAAGCCCGGGATTCAGGGGAGATGGTAAGGACTGACTTTAAGCCAAGCATCCAGTGTCAAATAGTGGCGCAGAAGGCATGTAGAGCCCTGCACTAGGTACGGAGGGTGGTCATCTCCGGAAGACCGAAGGTCTTGTAGCCACTACGCAAGGCCTTTGTGAGTACCCATCTAGAACAGTGTATCTAAGGTTGGAGACCGTATTTGGTGAGGGACATAAAGACCCTCAAACAGCCACAACAGTGATTCATGCGAAGGTTCACAGGGATCTGTGTAACGAACAGAGGTTGGACCAACTAGGGTTGTTTTCTTTAGGAAGGAGAGTTGACCTCATGAAGCTTTTCAAAATAATTAAGAGGTCCACAGAAGCAACACGTCATGGCGGTGAGTGGCTTATTTGTGCTGCGAGGGGGCATGTACCGACAATCAAGAACAAGTGATAACAGCCGCGAATTAGAAGCCAATATTTCGCAGTTGGAGTAGTAAACGGCTGGAATAAGCTGCCAGGCGCGAGCATAGCGACTGAGTTTAAAGGGAGACTAGAAGAGGCGTGGAGAACGGCATTTGGAGAAAGAGATTAGAAGCTTGTACTACATGCTTGGTTCGGATAACTGTTTCGCTATTTCCAATTTCACTTTTGCGCGATATCCTTATCTAATAATACTCACCGCTTCTCACTGAACGTTATTCTTACCATCGATGAAGATGACCATGGGGATTGTGTGACTAGTGGCTGTGGTTCGGAAAGTTGATGAAAAAGACGTTGTAT